CTAATCATTGTAGTTGCCCTTTTCTGAACCCTTTCCAAGGCCAAAATATCTTTTTTGAGGTGAGGAGACCACATCTGTACACAGTACTGAAGATATGGCGTACCATAGTTTGATACTTCCCCTTCTCCTTCTTCCCCTGGCTTCCCCCTTCCAGTCTCTCCTCCCAGGTTTCCTCCTCCCCTCTCCCACCCTCTCTCTTCCCCTCTCCCACCTCCTTTTCCCAGTCTCCCCAGAGGTTAATGCCCCACCCCCAGTTTTGTTAAATAAAGAGAGTTTCTATTTTTGAACACACGTGTCCTTTATTTTTTACATCAGGAAGGGGGGTAGGGAGGGGTAAGTGGAAGGCGGTGAGGGAGGAATGGGGCACGAGCCCCTGATGGGGAGGCCTGGGGTGGCTCTGCGGGCTCCTCGGGATGGAAGCTCTCCTGCAGGGCCTCCTGGATCCTGACAGCCCCCCAATTGACCTCCCCAGGTGGCATCCTGCAGCAAGTGCCGATGGCCAGGTGCTGTGATGTGCTGAATGAGGGCACTCAGGGCACTCCAAGCCAGGACTGCTTTGCTGTCCCTCATCGAGGTAGGCAAGCAAGCGGGGAACCCTGAGAACTGTCTGTCCGGGGTGGGGGTCGGGTCCCTTTAAGCACAGCCCTCGACCAGCCTGAGGCAGCAGCTCCATGCTCTAAGTCCTAACCTGATGCCCTGACAGCACCTTAACTTCGGTTCAGGGTCCACTCAATGTGGACATGCTAGTTCAAATTAGCAAAACGCTAATTCGAATTAGTTTTTAGGTCTAGATTCACTAATTCGAATTAGCTTAGTTCGAATTAACTAATTCAAAGTAAGTCAATTTGAATTAGTGTTGTAGTGTAGACATACCCTCACAGACAAACTTTCTCAAATATATACAGGATGTAAGTGAAGAACACCTGTGTTACAATACAGCATTCAAAACAACTGAATATTTGGTTTTATCTCTCTTTTCTAACACAATAATATTTATATTTTTTAAAAATTACTATGTTGAATATAAATCATCTTACCCTCAGACCTATTTAATCTTCATTGCCCATTGACTGAGTTAAACATAAATTGGGTATTTCCAAAAATAATAATCATTTCTGTTAATATTTTGGAACCTATTATGTGCATCAAAGTGTACAGAAACATGCTTCAATGCTGCTCATCCATTTTCTTGGGTTTAATAGTTTATGGTAGATTCTGGTCTCCTGTTGCCACATCTTTAATGTGGTATTTGCTAGTATAGTTATTAGATTCAGGAAAAGATTTTTGCTCCCCAGAAATATTAGCCCTGATATTCAGCTACAATTAAGCTGCTCTGCATCACTCTGCCAGTGCACTGATCTCATGCTAGTACACCAAGGCCTTGTCTACCCTATGCCAGGGATCAATGCTGCAGCAGTTGATCCATCGGCCATCGATTTATCATATCTGCTTCTATGAGATAAATCGAGCTCTGAGCATGCTGCAATTGATGCTGCTATTCCACCAAGACAAGGAAAGTGGCTAGCACTGATAGAAGAGCAGCCCCCACTGACCTTGCTGCACGCAAGACGCCATGATGAGTATATCGAATTCAGCTGTGCTATTTGCATAGCTGAAGCAGATCGATGGTGCCATTTAGTGCAGACAAGGCCTGAGTCACAGAAGAATCTCGCCAATGTAGGAGGTTCCTCCTGTGTTACAAAGATGCCTTTATGACTCCTATGCTACCTGCCTCCTTTGGCTAGAGAATTGGCTGTCTACATTCCCTAGTAATCCCTGCTTGTACGCTGGCCTCTTCGAGCCATGGATAGCTTGTGTAAACTAGAATAGACCAGACACTGGACAGGTGCACAGTTGGGCCATGGCTGGGGGAAGAGAGGTAATATTAAAAAATGGTTGCTGAAAGCTTCCAGCTTATGTGCTGTACAGTGTGGCATTCTGCAATGTAACCTTGTAGTCCTGGCATTCGGTATGTTTAAATCAGTCAAATGAATTCATATTTATTATTAACTTGAGATGCCAGAAAGTGAGTTCTTCCTAAATATGAAATATATGTTTGGGCACGTGTTTACAAGCAGACGTGGGAAAATAGTTACTATAAAAATAAAACTTCAACATTTCATTTTGAACATGAAATTAATTTAGCTTATAAAAGTTTTAATACAACACAAGACCCGTAGGTCAAGCCAAAAAAAAAAATCTCTCTGAAAAAAAAAAGAAGCAAGAAACCTAAATTTCTGTGTTGCAAAAAATGACTTAATTTTGGTTACAAAACAAAAATGAAAAGTTTGCTGTTATTTCACATGCTCTTGATACACCTGGTACTTTTTCCTCACCACCACTTCATTGTACACACCTTTGTACAATGCTTTGTACAAAGCTGATTATGTAACTTAAAGTCAAGATAAGTTTTAAAAAAATCCTAACAGCCATATCAAAAAAGTAGAGCCCAGTGTAATTTATTCCAGAGTGACAATGTAATACTTCTTGTTTGACATCTTTTTCTAGCCAGACCTGTTGCTCGAGCTTCAGGCAAGTTTCATTTTTCCCAGACACTCCTCTCTTGCTGTGTGTCTAGTCAAAGCAACAGTTGGCAAGCAGCAAACTAGATCCTGTGTGTTGTCAGTTACTTAGGGCCAAAGACTATAGCAAAGACACATATTTGCTGGTATCTTTTTGCAATTTTTACTTGTTTGATGTTTTCTCTCCTCAGAGGACACCAACAAATCCACAATTCATAGGACATCTTACTCTATAAGATATATAAAAGTTCAAGAATATAACAAAAATGAAATGACTTCTCTCTATATGTAAGAAAAATATTCTGGAGGAGGAGCTTTATTTTAATACTTAGTGAGTTTGAAAAAAAGATATCTTAATAGGGTTGCCAGATGGTTTACCCAAAAATACCAAACACCCTCTCCCCCCAAAAAAACACTGCTACATTCTTTGTTTCTAGAAGCCACCTTGAATATTTTAAATAGAAAGGCCGGGTAAAAATATTTAAATAAATAAATAAATAAATAAATAAATAAATTTTGAAAAATGGACACCTGGCAACCTTATATCCTAATCCAGTGTTTCTCAAAGTGGGCCGCAGGACTGCTATGGGAAAGCTGCTAGTGGGCCTATGCCACTTTGTTTACCTAAAGGCTCCATAGCCATGGAGCTTCATGGCTTCCATTGGCTTCAGTTCACTGTTTCCAGCCAAGGGGAGCCACGGGAAGGGGTGGCGTGGGCCACGCCCCTTCCCATGTCTCCTCTTGGCTGGAAATGGTGAACCAGAGCCAAGGGGAGATGCGAGGCTCTGTGGCTATGGAGCCTTTTGGTAAGCAAAGCTGCAGGGGCCCACCAGCAGCTTTCCCAAAGCAGTCCTGCAACCCACTTTGAGAAACACTTTCTTAATCTCTAATACTAGATTAAAGCAAATCTCTACATAATTATTTAAACACATCTGCATAAACCGGTTAGGGAAATACAAAAGCAACTCACCTTTACAGATCACTAAAGTGAGAAGGTTTTCCTTTTGCTCTGATCTGTGAAGTCTTTCATTGCTAATAGTTATAACCTCACTACCAAACAAATGACAATCCCCAAATATAACCACCACCCTAAGACACATGCCTACAATAATTTGGAGCCCAACCCACATATAAGAGCGCTGTGATCTTATGTAATTACTCAAGCTCAACCACATACAAGTAATAGGATCTGCCAGGAAGTTATGAACAAACTGGTCTTAATGCATCCTGCTTCCTTTGCTCAGTCATGATACTGTTCAAATCCTAATACATTATTTGCATTTCAAACTAGATTTGAAGGTGAAGAAGGGGTTTTTTACCTGGGATAGTGCCTCTAATATCTAGTAGACACTGGGCGAAAATAAACTTCAATAGGATCTGCCAGGAAGTTATGAACAAACTGGTCTTAATGCATCCTGCTTCCTTTGCTCAGTCATGATACTGTTCAAATCCTAATACATTATTTGCATTTCAAACTAGATTTGAAGGTGAAGAAGGGGTTTTTTACCTGGGATAGTGCCTCTAATATCTAGTAGACACTGGGCGAATATAAACTTCAATGAAACTATTGGATTTAGGGGACAATTCTGCATGAAAACTGATTATTATTTTCCCTGCAGAAACTCGCCAATGTAGAATATCCACAGAATTTTCTGTTCTTTGCAAAATATAATCCGTAATGTCTTATTTATTTTTAATTTTTTTCATGATTCTGAAAAGCCTCAATTATTTTTTAACAGCTGTGTGACTGCCTTGAGTGTGGAGCCAGTCAAACAGGGAGAGCATCAACTCCCCTTTTCATAAAGCAGGTGCTAACTCTCAAGTCTACTCATGATAATCAAGTTGCTAATTGCAACTTATTTTATTGACAGAGATGTGGGTTAGCTTAGGAAATCTTGAGTTCTAGGCCTAGCTCTTACACAGGGTTGCCAATTGTCTTAAGACCTAGTCTACAATGACATGTGTTGTCACCAAAGACTGCCTTTTTGGAGACAAAACAGTGAGAGCATTTACACTACAATGAGACTTTTGTTGGAAAAAATTCTGCTGTTTTGTTTTGTCCAGAGTCCCAGCTTCTACCAGTATCCCACAATAATTGCCTTGATGGCTGTGCTCAGCGTTTTGTGATCTCTGCTGCCCTGCAGGCATCCTCTTTCAAAGCTCCAGGAAGTATCTGACAGCTGAGTGAGTTTGGGGACAAACAAATCATTGGAATCATAGAATCATAGAACACTAGAACTGGAAGGGACCTCGAGAGGTCATCAAGTCCAGTCCCCTGCCCTCATGGCAGGATCAAGCACCATCTAGACAATAGGGCAAAGGCAATGCTGGTTAATGGCAAAAGCATGACTTTATAGCATTGTGGAAGTGGAAGGGATCGCAAGAGGTCATAGAGTCCAGTCAATTGCCCTCATGGCAGGACCAAACACTACCTAGATCAGTGCTTCTCAACCAGTCATACGAGTACCCTTAGAGTACTTGAGAGAAGTCTGTGGGGTACGTCAACACAACTGAAAAGGAGAAAACTGAATTTGTTTTAAGTTTTACAGCGCTTTTTAAATGTTGTACTTTTTACACCCAAAAATTTCATCGCCTGCCCAGCTAGGATTACGTTGTTTAAACAAGTGTGTTACAACGGTAGAAAAAAATTGTCTGAAAACTGTAGGTACAGGGGGTACTTTTTTTGAAAAAGTGGTACTTTATAAGAAAAGGTTGAGAAATACTGGCCTAGATCATCCCTGATAGATGTCTAGCCAACCTACTCTTAAATATCTCCAGAGATGGAGATTCCACAACCCCCCTCAGCAATTTATTCCAGTGTTTAATCACTCTGTCAGTTAGGAAGTCTTTCCTAATTTCCAATCTAAACCTCCCTTGCTGCAATTTAAGCCCATTGCTTCTAGGCCTCTGAGGATAGGATGAGAACAATTTCCCCCTCCTCTTTGTAACACCCCTTGAGATGATTGAAAACTGCTATCATGTCCTCTAAGTCTTCTTTTCTAAACTAAACAATCCCAATTTTTTCAGTCTTCCCTCATAGGCCATGTTTTCCAGACATTTAATCATTTTTGTTGCCCTTCTCTGGACTTTCTCCACATCTTTCTTGAAATGTTGTGCCCAGAACCGGACACAATACTCCAACTGAGACCTAATCAGTGCAGAGTAGAGTGGAAGAATTTCTCCTCGTGTCTTGCTCACAACACTCCTGTTAACACATCCCAGAATATTTGCTTTTTTTGCAACCATGTCACACTGTTGATTCATATTTAGCCTGTGGTCCACTATGACCTCTAGATCCCTTTCTGCCATACTCCTTCCTAGACAGTCACTTCCCATTCTGTACGTGTGAAACTGATTGTTCCTTCCTAAGTGGAGCACTTTGCATTTGTCCTTATTAAACTTCATCCTGTTTACCTCAGACCATTTCTCCAGTTTGTCCAGATCATTTTGAATTATGACCCTATCCTCCAAAGCACTTGCAACCCCTCCCAGCTTGGTATCATCTGCAAACTTAATAAGCATACTCTCAATGCCAATATCTAAATTGATGATGAAGGTATTGAACAGAATCAGTCCCAAAACAGACCCCTGTGGAACCCCACTTGTAATGCTCTTCCAGCAGGATTGTGAACCATTAATAACTACTCTCTGAGAACAGTTACCCAGTCAATCATGCACCTACCTCATAGTAGCCCTGTCTAAGCTGTATTTGCCTAGTTTATTGATAAGATAAGACCATATCAAATGCTTTTACTAAAGTCTAGGGCTACGTCTACATTGCCCAGTCTTGCGCAAGAATATATGCAGAATCATGGCAATGAATATCGCCGTGCCTCATTTGCATACTTATTTTTGCACAAGAGGCTTTTGTGCAAGAAGAAGCAGTCTATACTGTTCTTTCTTGCGCAAAAACCCCCTCTTGTGCAAGAGCCGTCCTACCACTTATTGTAAGTGTAGACTGCTCCTTCTCGCGCAAAAGCCCCTTACACAAAATGGCGGCTCATTAAGTATGCAAATGAGGTGCCGCGATATTCATTGCCATGCCTCATTTGCATCTGTTCTTGCACAAGACTGGGCAGTGTAGATATAGCCTAGGTGTATCACATCCATCACTTCTTCCTTATTCACAAGACTTGTTATCCTATCAAAGAAAGCTATCAGATTGGTTTGACATGATTCATTACAAATCCATGCTGGTTGTTACCTATCACCTTATTATCTTCCAGGTGTTTGCAGACAAATTTCTTAATTACTAGCTCTAAGTATGCTTCTGTTCTGCTACTGCAGAGGAAGGGCTGGAGAGACTGCTGTGGTGCTTTGACATTTCTTAGCTGGGAGAGATCACAGAGCAAGGAGGCTATCCCAAGAAGTACAGGGATCAGCTCTGCCTTCCCACAACACTGCACCGTGGGATGCTTACACCACACTGCTTTGCTCTGTCTGTCGACAAGGGAGCTAGCAATATGGCCATGAAACGTTGACAACAGCAGGCAGAAAAATTGGCTTAACCAGTTTTCACTTTTGGTGACTTTTGAATGTTGATAGCACTTTTGTCACCAAACCTTCCCAGTTTAGACATAGCCTAATTCCACAAAACCAAACACCTTCCTTTTGCTCACTCCATCACATCTACCTCTGTCACTCGTTCTCCCTCATCCTGACTCACTTTCACCAGGCTGGGGCAGAAGCCTGGAGTGTTGAAGGGGGTGAGGACTCCATCTGGGATATGGGGCAGAAAGGAAGTGACTCTGGGCTGAGGCAGGTGGTTGGGATTGCAGAAGTGAGTGCAGGCTCTGACTGGGATGAAGCCAGGGATGAGGTGTTTTCATTACAGTAAGGGCTCTGGGCTGGGACCACAGAGTTTGGAGTGCAGGAGGGGGCACAGGTCTGGGTTTGGAGTATGGAAGGTGGTACAAGCTCTGGGAAGGAGATAAGATGTGGGAGGGGGTTCTGACCTGGAGCAGGGAGGTTGGGGTGTGGGTTATGGCTGGACAGCTCCTGGTCTGCAGAGCAGTGGGCCTGATCAGGCTCCCTGCCTTCCCTGGCTACATCCAGCTCCTGGAAGTTGCTGGCATGTCTGATTCCTAGGCAGAGGGGCCAGGGAGCTGCCTGCCTGCAGGTGCTGCCCTCTGGTGCTCCCATTGGCCATGGTTCCCAGCCAATGAGAGCTGCAGAGACAGTGCTCAAGGTGGGGTAATATGTGGAGACCCCAGCCACCCCTGCCCCTGTGTCTAGGACACAGACATGTGAAGCAGAGCCAGGATAGTCCCTCCTTTAGCACCACTGTGTTGACAACTGAACTTTTAGCAGTCTGGTTAGCAGCTGACCAGGCTTCCAAAGTTCCTTTTTGACCAGGTATTCCAGTTGAAAATCGGGCAACTGGCAAACCTGTTTTTACACTGACTTCTTGGCTGGCATTAAGAAAGAACCTAACTCTCCATCCCCATTTATAAAATGTGTATAATAATAATAATAATAATAATAATACCACTTTCAGGCATGTTACACATGCATATTTTAAGTGTTTTAAAGATTCAAAATCCTAGGCATTTTACTGATATTGTCATCTTCTTATTACTTAATGATTCAAGCAAACATCAATCAGTTTGGTTAAACCCTGAGTTTATAAGCTTTGTGCAAACTTCTGAACCCTTAAGGGCTCATCAGCTTTACTTCCCTTCCTTTACAGTTCTCCCTTTGCTTTCATATTTCCTCCTTACACATACATTTCACCTATATCCATCACCCTGCAAACTCTCTGGCAGTGATTGCTGCTTCCCCATCTCTTCCCTGGGCTTCCCCAAATGTGGTCCAGCAGTTCTGGTGCCACGCATTCTGACAAATCTCTCACGTTCATTTCAATCCTGGTTTCTAAAACTTAACATACTTACCTAATTAAGTTACATCAGTTATTTAGAACCATCTGCAACTGCTGGGTATAGATGCATGTCTGATGGTAGCGGGAGCTGCTGACAGGGAAGATGTGGGACCCTTACTGAATGAAGGAGGTAAGCTAGTAACAGATGATGTGGGAAAAGCTGAAGCACACAATGCTTTTTTTGCCT